CACTTACAGGTGTGCCTTTCCTAATCCTACACCACACCCCACGACGCAGGTACATGTTCTGTGCCTGCAGTATATGTTACTGTGCCATGCAGGTACATGTTACTATGCGACAGCACATGTTACTGTGCATGCAGGTATATGTTACTGTCCATGCAGGTACATGTTACTGTGCGACGCAGGTACATGTTACTGTGCCATGCAGGTACATGTTTCTGTGCGCATATGACGTACCATTCAGGTACATGTTACTGTGCGACGCACGTACATGATAGTGGCGACGCAGGTACATGTTACTGTACCATGCAGTACATGTTACTGTGCATGCAGGTACATTGTTACTGTGCCATGCAGGTACATGTTACTGTAACCATGCAGGTACATGTTACTGTGCCATGCAGGTACATGTTACTGTGCCATGCAGGTACATGTTACTGTCCGACGCAATACATGTTACTGTGCCATGCAGGTACATGTTACTGTGCCATGCAGGTACATGTTACTGTGCGACGCAGGTACATGTTACTGTTGCCACGCAGTACATGTACTGTGCGACGCAGGTACATGTACTTGTGCCATGCAGGTATATGTTACTGTTGCCATTTCAGGTGAGGATCTAGACCAGTGTGGATAAGTAACTTGCTCATCCCAAAACTGGCGGAAAGGTTGAGCTTCTATCCTGAACCCACACCCCCTCCTACCCCTAAGGGCCTGCTTATGCCCCGCGTTCACCTTCTCCTCCCTTCACAGGGAAATGTCTGTAGAAAGACTGGCTGGGTGCCTCCCCCAGCCCACTTCAGCTCGGAGTCACGACTACCTCTCACTGGCATTCGAGCTGCACGAGGACCGAAGTCAGAGTACTAGGTTTGACTGTCACAATGCCGGGTTCCTCTCTTCTGTATAGTAGGGAGAAAAGAATAACAGCTCGTTTGTCCTCATCTTTCCAAGATCCCGTTCCTGGAATGCTTTGAGCAATTCCATGCATCCAAGGAACTTCATTCCCTCCCGTCTCAACACCTTAAGTTCCATGTGAAAAATAAAAAAAAAAAAAAATTACAATCATGGAAAACAGGTGTGATGAAGAAAGTTGAGATACTCCCTGAGCTGAGTCTTACTGGCTCTGATAATTAAAATTACCAAATTGGCCATCGAACTTGCCAGAAGCAGAGCTGTGCAGGGCAGCCGGCTGACCATCCCCGGCTCCCCAGGTGGGAAGCTCTCGCGTCACACCGGGCCAGCGCTGCTGAGTTGCCCGGTCAAGTCTTTTCCTTTTCTTTGTTCAATTTCTGATGCAACTAAAGCCAGCTTTTGAGCGCATAAGCCAATACGTGACTTTTTTTTTTTTTTTTTTTTTTTTGCTGCGCAGAACCTGAACCGGGTGGCCGAGACCTGGATGGACGAATTCGCCGAGTACATCTACCAGCGCCGGCCGGAGTACAGGCACCTGTCCACCGGGGACATCTCCGCCCAGAAGGAGCTGCGCAGGCAGCTCAAGTGCAAGGACTTCAAGTGGTTCATGGCTGCGGTGGCCTGGGACGTGCCCAAGTACTACCCGCCCGTGGAGCCCGCCCCGCGTGGCGGGGAGTGAGGAAGGCAGCGCCCGCGCGCCCCGCGCCCCGCGCTGCCCCCGCCCTGGCGCTGCCCCCGCGCGCGCCTCCCCGGGCCCAGGGCGGGAGGGGCTGCTAACGCCGTCGCCCTTTCCCCCTGCAGCCAGGCAAGGTGAGTTTAAGTCACCCCCGGGTAAATGAACGCCCAGCCTCTTCTCGTGCACGCGGGGGCCCGGCCGCTCCCCTGGCCGGCGTGTGCCGTGCGGACGCACGCGGAAACCCATTTCGTGGTGGGCACGCTGCGAGACGCGCGGCCACCGCAGTCCCCTAAATGAGCACCAAACTCTCCACCTCTGAACGCTGCCCTTTGGCTTCGCTCCGTGATCCAAAGCGGAGAGAGCCGAGCGGCCCCAGGTCCCAGCTTTCAAGTATACTGTACCTTAATGCTGTCACCGTCGCCTTTTCCCTGGAGAGAAGAGTGTGCCAAAGCGAGGACGGTATGGGATAGGGCGGCTTCATCCTGGCACTTTAACCTGCTGTGAGCAGAGCTCTGGGGGGCGGGGGGACGCCAGCCCCCTCCCAGTTCTCCAGCCTTTCAGAAGCCGGGAGTTGACTGTCACGCACTCCGGAGGAGCTTTGTGGCCACTGTCCTCGGTTTTGTAATGTGGGGGGAAAGATGCCGTTGTCTAGTCAGTGTCCTTGGCTGCTGCAGGAGCTCTGAAAAAAGTTGCCCCAGGGCGTGGCAGGAGCGGCCAGGGGGCTCGGCAGCATTCCTGGGCCAACCGCCCCGGCTCCCTGCAGAGAGCACATCGGCAAGTCACAGGTGCGCTGCTTGTGCTGAGAGGGTCCAAGAGGATGCCCTTCTCTGCCTGGACCTGGGGCACCCAGGCATGGAGGAGAGAGTCAAGGCCATCACTACACCCCCCCCCCACCTCCTCGTGTTTTTTGCTCTTGTGTGTGGGCCTGATGTTGTCTGCCTACGCCAAGTCATGTTAGTAATTTGGTTTTGTCGTTGCGTCTCAAATATTTCGTTAAAACCTCCCTGGAATATGAGTCACATTAGTCTGCTTATATTCATTTTAGCTATCCGCCATGGGCTTCTTTTATAGCAGTGGAAATCTGAAGTAGGCAGACGTCAGTGAGAACTTTCTTAGCCTCGTGTGCTGGAAGGCATGGGAATTTGTTACCTGAAAAAGCAGTGAGGTCCTTCCTGAAAGTTTTTGGTTAAGGCCCTGTTTGCCGTCTTTCTGTGGTGATTTAGGTGCAGTCCTCCCTAGTTACTAAGAAATACACTTGAAGACCCCACAGTACCATTGCCTGAGTCACTGTTGGCTTGAAATCGCATCCATCTTTTCTCCGCTTTATGTGGAATCATAAATTTTTGTTCCCACCTGGTTACTATATACTTCAAATATCAATTGGTCACATTTTCCCACATTACCTCACTAACCCACAACATATATTTATAAAGCACCTTGTCTGGAGACAGACTCAAAGCTTCCATGGAGGCTCTAGGAGAGACACAACCTCTCGGCAATAATCAAAACCAGAACCATCTTCAGACCAGGTGGGCTACGCCAGCGTGTTCGCATCTATGACGTTCGACTGCCCCACACCCTCACAACGCTTGCCTCCTCCCTGGAGACATTTGTGGTCATCACTGCTGTTTAAACAACCAGACATTGAGCAGATCAGATTTTTTTATTTTTTTATTTTTTTAACACAGTGGCAAATGTCTTTCCCCAAAGCTTCAGAACAGTGGACAAGTGCAGGTTCAGGAGAGAAGCAAATGGGGCTATCTGGTAGTCCCAAGGCCATTGCCTTCAGCTGCGTTTGTTCGGTGCGGATGTAACACAGAACAAGAACGAAGAGCTAGGAGGCTGGGGGAAAGCAAGAAGAAAGGCAATCGGTAAGAGGCAAGAGTCTGGACTGGTAAATTTCAGATTTGCAATGCATCTGTTTCCAAGCAGAGTAGAACCCTTGACAGCGTAAGTGACGTGTGTGCATTTGACCCAGGGGACAAACAAGGGATTTGAAATGCAACTTCATCTAAATGACATGATGAAAGAGATTATATTTTCTAACTGTACTACTTGGGTAATAACAACCTATTTCTTAATAGTAGGTAAAGAAAATTACTAAAAGTACAGAATATATCTGTAGGCCAACTTCATCTCTGAAAAAAAAATCTTTCAAAATTTTCACATTTGTGTGATTTCTTTCTCCTTTCAGAGAACTTTTTTGATCAACCTTTTATTTTGGGATAATTTTAAATTTATAGAAATATCGCAAGATAGTATAGAAAGTTCACATATACTCTTCACCCAGCTTCTTCTAACGTTAACATTTTATGTTTGCCGCATTAACTGTGGTATATTTATCAAGCTGAGTAATTAACATTGGTGCATGTTATTAACTAAACTACAGACTGTATTCAGATTTCACCCATTTTTTTTTCACCGATGTCCCTTTTCTGTTCCAAGGTCTAATCCAGCCTCTGAAAGGGCTTTTTAATTTCCTATAAACTTCAACTTAATTGTTAGAATGGGCAAAGCTCCCAAACAAATGTAATAAGTCAATCGCTGTTTTGGTAAGAAAGTGAAACATGGAATGCAGACTCTGTGGTTCTTTTAAAGCAATTATGGGAAGGAACGACAAACGTCCCGCAACATAAACACGGGAATCCTTTATGGGAAATCTGGGCCAAGAAGCAGGGCAACTTGCCACTCTATGCACTTGTACTTGCAATGGTTTTCCACCTGCCTCTCCATGCCAGCCTGATTCTGGGTAAACAACGAAGTGCTTAGGCAGTTTTTGGCTCTGGTGGTTGGAACTCAACTTGTAAAAGATATGTCACAGGCCATAAACTGCCCATAAACTGCCACTCACTTCCCTGACAAACCCAGCTGGATTCTGCACTTATCTCCCAGCTAATCTCTCTTCTTCTGCCCTTCCCAACTTCGGTTTAGGCTCAACATAGTCCTCTTAAATGGGAGGTCAGGCCTCCACTCCTCCGTCCAAAGCTTTTCGATGGCTGCCATCCCTCTCCAGGTAAAAGTCAAAGTCAGAGATGGGGCACCTTTTCATGTGGGAAGGCCACATTAATTTAGCTGTATTCAAGTAAGGCCGCATTCAAGAAACTTCAAGTAGATATACTTAAAAGTATACATTATTTTATAAACCTCTAACTACTATGTTCTTAATAATTTCAAAAAAATGAAACCTATTTGTTAATTTTAAAGTTAACTAACCTTTTAATGACTTTGTTGTGTCTGCTTTTTGTTGGAAAGCATTTGAATATTCGGTTGCAGTGTGGAGATCCTCAGTTTCGGCTGATCCTCTAGATGGGTATCGGTCATTTCGTGACCTTAAGGGCATCTTGATGCGGGTTAGGTAGGAGAATCTAGATTTGCCACAATAAGTGGCTGAAAAGCAAGAAATCATTTTTCGGGCATGTTGCTGAAGGCGTGGGTATTCTACTGTATTGTTCCTATGTCAACTGGACTTTCTTAGCATCAAATAATGCCTTTAACATGTCATCCAAGAGAGCTCAGTCAATTCCATCTGTAGTTGTTTAGGTGTCTTGGTGATATCAACTAGGTGAGGACAAATGCTAATTTGAGTGTGATGTCATGGTTCTCAAGGTCAGTGAACCTTTCATCGTATTCTCCAGCTGTTATAAGTCTATAACAGCTACACATTCTTCAAATAATTTGCATATATCATTCTGCTCAACAATAACCTTTGCTAGCCAGGGAAAATGTTCATCCAAAACTTCCTTTTGAAGAATAAGTGTTTTGAAAAAAAAAAATACAGCTTTTTTCAAAATGCTTGGATTCTTTGCCACGTGTCATATATAGACTTAGTTTTAACTTGCAAAGAAATATTCGAGTTTTCTGGATTTGACATGATATCAAACAGAAATGCTGCATTCCTATAGAAATCTTCTTTCAATAATTCACATTACTGATTCTGTTCTTCATAAAATTTAACTGTGTTCTTGCAGAGATAAAATTTTGGCTGGCACCTGTCCCAGCAATAGCCAACACACTTTAGAATGATATGGCAAACCCACAGGAATACCTCATCATTCAACTTTAGCATGTTGCAAATCTGACCATGCTGTATTGCATTTGCAGGAATATAGTTAACAATACTTATAACTTGTTGCAAAGTTTCATTTAAAGTAGTAGCTTTAGCAATGAGATTTTGCTGATGCAAGGTACAATGAAAAGAAATGAGAGCATCTGGATCTGTTCATACATTTTTTTAAATCTGTGCAATAAACCCTTCATGTTTTCCTGTCATGGAAGGTGCACCTTCTGTACATACACTCACTAAATTTACCAAATTCAATCTAACTTCACGACATTTATCTTCAGAGTTGTTGAAGATATTTATTCCCTGTGTTGTGTTCATAAGAGTGCCCAAAGCAAGTAACTTTTCGTAGCAGAAAAAAATAAAATCTCCTGTTATGACCCAAATGGAGTATAAAACCTGAGCTGAGTGAGTAGTCTCAGTTGATTCATCCAAAATGATTGAATAAGATACATTTTCCTTTTGAAGTATTGCATGAAGTTGTTCTGTTAAATTGAAGACTAATTCATGCTGCCAATCAGTCATGTTTCTCCTTAAAAGAGGCAGTTGTTTGTACTTTGAAACGTTATCCTACAACTTCAACAATGCATTCTTTCACAATTTCCACATCACTGAATGGCTTCTCTTTTTTCCCAACTATATAAGCTACTTTATAAATTGCTCCAGTGACATTGTCTCCAGGTCTTATTGCTTCTTGAAAGAATTGTCTCTGCTTATGCTTTTCATCTTTTAATTTCTGCAATACAACCTTTTGCATCTCTCCCTCTAATTTAAGATATTTATGGTCCTTATGGTGTTACAATGCTGACGAGCACTGAATTTCTTAAATGTTGATATTGCAGTATCACAAAGCAAGCAAATCATCTTACCTTTAGCAGAAGCAACATAATACTGCAATTCTCAATCCTCATTAACAAATCTGTTTTCTTCCTTTAGCATTCTCATGGTCTTCTTTGACATGATGGGCTGTTAAGCAGACAGAATTAAAAACTACTGTTGAACTGTGCAACTATTCACAAATTCCACTTCAGACAGAAACACAATGCACCAGTGTCAAAAGCTGATAACAGACTTGCATACCCCACCCCATAAACTCTCACCAACCAGCCTCATGCAGTAGTGGTGCCAGTCAGGCAGGGGAAATTAGAACTAAATCATGATCATAGCAGCTATCAATTTAGCCCTTATGGCTTACAAGTGTTCTAATTGTGCCCCTCAATCTATGAGAATTATTTCGTTGAACCTTATTTTATTCTTTGGTATTTTAAATACATTCATTTTAAAAATAAAATGAAAATATAAAAGAACAAAAATGTATTAATAAAAATAAGAAGATTTGTTCTGTAAAATTTGGATTCAGTCAAAAGGACACACTTAAGGACCTAGAAGGCCACATGGCCTTAAGGCCCCAGGTTCCCCACCGCTGGTCAAAGTCCTTACCTAAAGGCCCTAAATGATCTGACCTCCGTTGTGTCTCCTCCAACCTCATCTCTTACTACCCCCGTCTTGGCTTACTCCTCTCTAGTCACCCTGGCCTCATCACTGTTCCTCACACAGGCCAGTTGCAATCTGACCTCAGGGCCTTTGCACTTGCTATTCCTACAACTTTGCTATTCCTTCAGGTCCTCACTCAGAAAAATCATCTTCTCAGTAAGGCCTTCCCTGGTCATCCTATCTAAAACTGCAACAATCCCCACAGACGCGCGCGCGCACACACACACACGCATGGACGCCCCATCTCCCTTTCCTCCGTTATCTTTCTCCTTAGCATCCATCCCTATATGACGAGCTACGTAATCCAGTTATTGATCGTGTTTCTCATCTCTGTCCCCTGCTAGAAAGCATGCTTCATGACGCAGGGATCTTATTGGCTTGTTGTGGTACTACCACTCTGTGGAAGCAAAAAAGTGTCTGGCATACAGTAGGTGCTCAATAAGTATTTGTCGAATGAATGAATGGGGGGATCCTGGCTGCCTGTTTTCCCAGTGACCCTTCGCTGCTCTGTCTCACACCTGTGTATCTGAAGCCTCCCCTGAGCTCTCACTCCCTTCTTGGCCACCCAAGGTCCACCTCTTTGGAAGGCTCGGCCAGGAAGGCAGTTTGAGTAACGAATGGCAGGTAACTGACTCTGACGTACTGTCAGGTCTATGGTCCATTCAACAGTCAAACAAGCCACGAAATATTCTCTTCTGACATCCTAAGGAGAAGGGGGAGAAACTCCAAGAGTGAAAAGCCTCTGTTCCAGCAATTTCCAACCTCTCCCTATCAGCTTCCTCCTTAAAAGGCAGAAGAGATTGACCCCTTTGCACTCGGATGTTGAATGTGACCCGACACGGCTAGCAAAAATTATTGAGATTAAAATTGCTCTTTGAATGTATCAAAAATTTGAAATATAAAAAAATCCACATAAATAAGTTTGTATGAAAAGAAACTCCAGTTTTTTATTCTACTGCCGCGCTTTGTAAAGTCTGGGGTATTTAAGAACTTAAATCCTGAGTAGAATAAAGGAATCGAGGGAAAAAAGCAAGGGAGTGCAAAGGGTTAAAGTCACGTCTGATGGAGAAGGGCCTCAGGCCATGCCACCCTCTGGCACGCAGCGTGCTGGGAGAGCGGGGAGGCCACGGGGCCCAGAGAGGATGCACAGGGTTTGGGGCCCTGCGATAAGTCGAACATCCGTCAGCCCCATTCAGACAGAAGCAATGTGCTTTTCCGCGATGCTACACCGGGCAGGGTAAGAACAGGTTTAAAGTGGAAAACTATTCTTAAACCACTCACATATGGAGTGTCTCTTTTTGTGTCAAGATGCTAAATGAAAGAAACTGAATCTCCTATTATTTTTCCCCTTCTCCTCCTTAGAATTCATGAATTTGCTAAAGTCATTTATAGTACTCCTTTATGGTCTAAAAAGGAGAGTTCTGCAGAATTCTAAATATCATGTGTAAGAAGGAATAAAAGATGTAAAATAGACGAGCGTGTCTTTTCCAACCAGTGCCATAAACTCTTTTAAGAAGTGTCTGCCTGCTGGCCTCAATGTGCCAATCTCGGCTCATCCGCTTGTCATCTCGCGATTGTGCAAAACTTTTTTTAAGTCTTTATTTTAAAAATTCATGTCAACACTGAACTACTTCAGCTGCTTATTTAAATTCCTTCTCCAAGATTAATGTCACCCTGCACTGTGGAACATGCACGAAGACAGGCACCCTGAATAATTCCGGTGCTCCTCCTCTGCTCCGGGCTGCCGCTCTTGGCTCCTTTTTTAAACCTGCCTCCTTCCTTTCTCTTCTCATGTTCTCGCAGTGCACGAGGCTTTTCAAATCTCCCCCAGTCAGCTTACATGAAAGGAGGTTCGACGACGCTAGGAGGTGCGTTGTCTGAAAGCCCACCTGAGCATGTGATGCTGTCTCTTCTAGAGCAGTCCTGTGCCCGTGCGCAGCGAGCCAGGCTCCCCCCGGTCCCCCCGCACCCGCCTGCTCCCTGGTCTTGCCACTGGGACAGCTGCCACGGGAGACTGCCCTGCTGTTCCCCTGGCAACTACGTAGGGGAACGGCTCTGCCATTTAAGTGCCGTGTGTCATCAGACGAGATCTCTAAGTGAAGCACTCCTCTAGAGAGGATGTGTCGTTCTGAGTGTCTGAGCTTGACTCGCACTGTCAGTTTTTTCTCAGTGGGAGGCAGTGCTGGTGCACTGTGCTAATTCCTCTCTCTAGAGCTCAACAACTAGGTTGAGAAAAAACATAGGAACACATAAAGAATTGCATCACCCTTTCAGATTTGTCTGTGTGTTTTATGAGACAGCGGAGAGAGGGCTATGAAGACAAACTTAAAGCGTCTTCTAATAAACGTGATTTTAGTTCCGTATTCTGAGATGAGCAAATCAAACATCTTGGTGCCCCAATCGTGACAATCCGACCCAAGTCATAATGGAATGAAGGGAGCTTCAGAGCTGGCCATTTTTTTTTTCTTCTCCTATGTGGCATATGTAAATATGCCAAACAAAATGTTCTCTCTTTTCTGTTTACTCTATTTTTGCCTAAAATATATGTATGTATATTTCATATATGTTTACACACATAAGTATATATTTTGGGGGGTTCATGTGACAGGAGTCAATGAATTTGTAAGTGTATTTTAGCCTAGTCATAAATTCATCTTAGTATTTAATTTTCAATGAAAATGAGTACCTTTCTAACTCCAAGAATGACACTAAACTAGTAGAATTTGGGGATCACTCAATTATCATAGCAGAATTTCTATCATAGCGGAATTTCTACAATATCAAAGATTTGGCATTTATATTATATGCATTATATATTACATATAATAAAAATTATATTAAATTTTTCCAGTCATGGACATAGGAGTTCCTCACCCCACTCATTCTTTTAACCAAGGGAACAGCTGGCTTCTCTGGTAGCTGAGAGTGGTCTCTGTAGTGGCAACTGCCCTCCACTTGCCTTAAATATCCAGCAACTGTCCCCAGGTTGTTGGAGAACAACAATAACCATAGCAAAAAAAGTGGAAATATGATATTATATTTAGAAAACCCCAAAGATTCAACCAAGAAACTCCTGGAACTGATAGATGAACTTAGTAAAGTCTCAAGATACAAAATCAATACACAGAAATCAGAGGCATTCATATATGCCAACAACAATCTAATTGAGAACCAAATCAAAGACTCAATTCCCTTCACAATAGCAACAAAGAAATTAAAGTACCTAGGAATATACTTACCCAAGGAGGTAAAAGATCTCTACAGGGAGAACTATGAAACATTGAGGAAGGAAATAGCAGAGGATGTAAACAGATGGAAATCCATACCATGCTCGTGGGTCGGCAGACTCAACATCATTAAAATGTCTATACTACCCAAACTGATCTACAGATTCAATGCAATACCTATTAAAATCCCATCAGTATTCTTCACAGATATAGAAAAAATAATTTTACACTTCGTATGGAATCAAAGAAGACCCTAAATATCAAAAGCAATTCTAGGCAACAAAAACAAAATAGGAGGTATTAATATGCCAGATATCAAATTATACTACAAAGCTGTAGTAATTAAATCAATCTGGTATTGGCACAAAAATAGGAATATTGACCAGTGGAACAGATGTGAGAATCCTGATATAAAACCATCCTCATATAGCCATCTAATCTTGACAAAGCAAGACAAAAACATACGCTGGGGAAAAGAATCCTTTCAATAAATGTGCTGGGAAACTGGATAGCCACCTGTAGAAGGCTAAAACAGGACCACACCTTTCACCTCTCACAAAAACCAACTCACGCTGATAACAGACTTAAACCTAACGTATGAAATATTAAATTCTAGAGGAAAATGTTGGAAACACTCTCCTAGACATCAGCCTAGGCAAAGAGTTTATGAAGAAGTCCCCAAAGGCAATCACAGCAGCAACAAAAATAAATAAATGGGACATGATCAAACTAAAAAGCTTCTGCACAGCCAAAGAAATAGTCATGAAAGTAAAGAACAACTACAGAATGGGAAGAAATTTTGCATCCTATGCATCTGATAAGGGGCTGATAACTAAAATATACTTAGAACTCACGAAAATCAGGAAGAAAAAAATCAAATAACCCTATTAAAAAAGTGGGCAAAGGACTTGAACAGAAACTTTTCTAAAGAAGACAGAAGAATGGCCAACAAACATATGAAAAAATGCTCAACATCTCTAATCATCAAGGAAATGCAAATCAAAACCACAATGAGATATCACTTAACTCCAGTGAGAATGGCCTTTATCAAAAAGTCTCCAAACAATAAATTCTGGCATGGATGCGGAGAGAGAGGAACACTCCTACAATGCTGTGGGCTGCAAACTAGTTCAACCTCTGTGGAAAGCAATATGGAGATACCTTAAAGCGATACAAGTAGATCTACCATTTGATCCAGCAATCCCATTACTGGGCATCTACCCAAAAGATCCAATGACACTACAAATAAGACACCTACACCAGAATGTTTATAGCAGCACAATTCATAATTGCAAGGCTGTGGAAACAGCCCAAGCGCCCATCAATCTAAGAATGGATTAATAAAATGTGGTATATGTATACCATGGAGTACTATTCAGCTCTAAGAAACAATGTGATATAGCACATCTTATATTTTCCTGGTTATAGCTGGAACCCATACTACTAAGTGAAGTATCCCAAGAATGGAAAAACAAACACCATATATACTCACCAGCAAACTGGTATTATCTGAGCAGCACCTAAATGGACACATAGGTACTACAGTAATAGGGTATTGGGCAGGTGGGAGGGGGGAACGTAGTGGGTATATACATACATAATGAGTGAGATGTGCACCATCTGGGGATGGTCACGCTGGAAACTCAGACTTGTGGGGGGGAAAGGGCATTTTTTGAAACCTTAAAATTTGTACCCCCATAAATGCCAAAAGAAAAAAAAAGTGGAAACGCTCCTGGGGTCCTCAAATAAAATTTAAAAACAAGGAGTTAATTCTGAGTTGCCCAGGCTGATGTCAGTCTGCATTGCTGGGCTTGAAATTCGATTTTAATAGTCCGTAGGTGGACAGTAGTTAAAAACAAGAGCCAGCCTTCCTCTCCGTGTCCTTGTGACCCGTTGAGCTGTTGTGCTGGCGGCAGGCCGTGGCAGGCGCCGGTTCAGACTCTGAGAAATACGACGACCGCAGCGCTGAAAGGTCACGGGAGAGACATTTTTAGCAACCCCAAGGTCATCAGTCAGTCTTAGATTTTGCAAACAACCTGAAATGTAGCTCCCTCGTGCTTTGGTTTGGGAGGCAGGAAATTAAGCACTCCTGTGTGCCCCTCCCACCTTCTACAGCTAAATATTTCATTTTCTCACCATTATCTCTTTTTATTTTTTAATCCATTTGATTGGGTTTCCTCCTGTTGGCTTTAAGAGACAAAGAAATTAACTTTTACCAGCTTATGTTTCCAAAATCCTGCTTTTGTCTAACCGGCAGCTCCTGCTGTAGGTCTTTGCCTTTCACAGGGGCAGGCAGAGAGCTCTGTCTGTTAAGCCTTTACTGCCCAACCTGAAGGATGCCTGTCGGCTGGTCACTCTCTGGGAAGGATGACCTATCTATTCTTCAGGCCCATCCTAAAGAGAAGCTGAAATAACGAGATAATCTCAGGAGGAGCTTAACTTCCCAGACCAATCTCTAGCACAGGAAGGACAAATCCATTTTTCCCAGCCTTGTTCCAATCCAAGTCATTCAGAAACAACCACACACATTCAAACTCTTTGCCCACTTTTTTTTTTTTTTTTTTTTTTTTGTCAAAATTGCATGCAAGTTTGTAGCAAATACAATAGTCCCTCATTCATAGTTTCACTTTCCATGGTTTCGGTCAACCACAGTTCCATAATATTACAGGCTATTGAGAGAAAACACATTCATGTAACTTTAATTATGGTATATTGTTATGATTGCTCTACTTTATTATGCAATTTTAATCTCTTACTGTGCCTAATTTATAAATTAAACTCTATGATAGGTATGTATGCATGAGAAAAATCATAGTGTACAGGGCTTGGTACCATCTGCAGTTTCATGCATCCACTGGGGGTCTTTGGACATACCCCTGAGGATAAGAGGGGGGACTACTGTAGTTTGGTTTCAGATTTCAACATTCAAGTATGGCCACACTATTGACAATAATGGAAAAGCTATGAGGAACGACACCAGAAATAAAAATCTATGTTTTCTACAATGTTTCTCAATTTAAAATACACTGGGATTTCTGATGCTAAAAATATGGCAACAGCATGACTTTGTTTAATCATAAAGACCAGACAGGATATTTATGATAGCAAAAGAAAAAAACCAAGCAACGTGGATATGATCTTACAGATGGCTGATGACACGGGGTCCCCCAAGTACTCCAGAACGTGGGCCAGTGTCGCCTCAACACCAGGCAGCGGCAGACCCTGTGTGGGACCAGCAGGGATGAGGAAGGGGCAGAAAGGACAGAGGGGAATACTGACCCCTCCAAGGAGAGGGCCCAGAAACCGACGACAAGTATTCACCCCCAAAAGGACAAGAGCCTTCACAGCACAGGAGCAAAAGCAATTAATCTAAAAATTGCCAGGGACATTCAAAGACATCCTCCCACAAACTCTGAGCTGAGGACAAGTGCAAAGAGACCACAGGGTGCCAGCCAGAGGCCATGGCGACGCAGCCTTAGCTTGCAAGGATCTCAGGAACATACCAAAACACTCCCTTCTGGAAAGACAGAGACTCATCCTCCCTCGTCTCCCTTCTACAAAAAGGGAAAAGCAAAACCTGCTGTGAATTGGATCCAAAATGAAACACTGAGGATTCCCGGGGAGACGAAAGCATCCGCTACCAGAGAGGGAGGAGCTGGACCTTGGAAAGTGCAGAACAAACACCTTCAGAGCTGACAGTGCCGCTTTGGCAGGAAAGACCCTTAGAACTCCAGACAGCGCAGGGTGAGAGGCAGAAGTTTCTGTGAACCAGGCTAAGCCCTGAGAGACAGAGAAGTGTCTATGTGAAAAGGCCATTTTTAAAAAAATACTTCACAGTAGCAACAGAGAAGACAGCCCTACACGGGAATCCTCTTCTGATAGTCCAAGAAAACTATTTCATTTATTTATGAGATAGTTGATATACGGAAAATAAAGGCAGGTTATAATAAAATCCCATACAGAGACACAAAGACAAAGATAAAAACAAACCAAATACAGTCCCAACAGATAATGAAAACATACTACAAATGTGGCTATTAAGAAGATGAAAACTGCAACATAAGATTTCAAGATGAGCTAAAAGAATCCTAAAAATAAAGCTTGAAAAAACATACAAATCAGAATTAGAGCCATTCAGAAGCAAGATGGCTAGAATGATGCAAAACATGACTTCATGAAAAGATTACTGAGAAAGCTCAGGAATGAACTAGAAAAGAAAGAAAAAGCATTTCAGAAATAAAGGCTAAATTAAAAGAAACGAAAGGGCAGAGAGAGACCACAGAAAGCACAGTAAGAGAAATGCAGGCTAGAAGGGAGAAGAGTGAATATAACAAAACGGAAATAAAGAAAAAAGAAAAGAAAAAAGAACTTGTCAAAAGATTTGGAACAACAGACATAGGAGATTCAACATAAAATTCCCAAAGAAGAAAGTTCCACAAAAATGAAAGACAATAAACACATTAAACTATAATTTAAGGAGAGCTTCTCCAAATAAAAGATTTGAATCTATGTGTTAAAAGGACCATATCTGGGAAACTCAACTAAGAACCATCAGCACTGAGACACTTTCTAATAAAATGATTGCATTTTTTACATGAAGAAAAAAATTGTGTGTATCTAAACCACGCGTCCTCAAACTACGGCTCTGGGGCCGCGTGCCGCCCACCTAGCACATTTATCCGGCCCTCCAGGTGTTTTTGCCACCGATGCCCGTCCTGCTTAGCAGCCGACTCATCCCGGGCCCACAGTGTGCACTCTCTAGCAGTCTGAGGGACAGTGAACTGGCCCACTGTTTAAAAAGTTTGAGGACCCCTGACCTAAACAAAAGAAATAAATCAGACCTTGAAGCTCAAGCATTTTGTACCGGAGGACAATGGGGCAGCCCTGTCAAGATGCTCAAGAAAATAAAGTCTGAGCCAAAGGCTTCATATCCAACCAAACTAACCCTTCAGATGTGACGGTGCTAGGGTTTGAATGTGTACCCCAAAGTTTGTGTGTTGAAACTTAATTGCCAATGCAACTGTGTTGAGGAGGACCCTTTAAGAGTGGATTCCTCGTGAATGGACTGATGCTGTTAGCTTGGGAGCGGGTTAGTTACTGTGGGGGTGGGTTCCTGATAAAAGGCTGAGTTTGGCCCCTTCCCTCTCTCTCCCATGCGATGCCTTCCACCACATTATGATGCAGCAAGAAGGTCCTCACCGGATGCAGCCCCCCTCGGTCTCGGACTTCCCAGCCCAGAGAGCCACAAGCCAAAAAGATTTCTGTGCATTATAAATTACCCAGTCTATGGTATCCTGGAATAGCAACACAAAATGGGCTAAGAGAGAAGGCTGTGGAAAAACAGTTGTAACTATTCAAGAACTCAGGGATTATTTTACCGAAAGCCTTTCTGAGACACCTGCCAGAGAATGAACACTGGAAACCCGGGAGCTGTTTGAAGAATTTCGACGCAGGGTCCAATCGAAACTGGTTACAAGGAAGAAAGAATATACAGATTTTATATGGTCTGATGGTGTAGAATAATAAAAGTAACAAACAGGAAACGTAAATGGAAGGAGGAATAGGGACACTAATTGTCCCATAGGCATTAACTACGGGTAAAAGAATATCACATGTGTAGACACTGTGGGGATGGGTAGAAAGGGGAATTTATAGCAGCTGTGGAGCTGCTCAGAGAAGAGTATGGTGAGGCATCATCTGAAAAGAGGAAACTTCAGACACTATCAAGAATATTAGCACAAAGGCAACCAGTAGAACAAAAAAACAAACCATATTAAATACTGAAGATTGAAGAGAGAGAGGGAAACAAATCACATGGTGAGACGCTTTCTAGATAACAATTAATATATAATAAATCAGTGTGTCAGAGCTGAGGTCAAACATATAAAGCAACGCACTAAAAGAAAAAAAGCTCAGACTGACGAATAAAGCAAATCTAAGTCTCTGCTTTACGAGACATGCCTAAATCAAAATGATACAGAAAGGTTAAAAATTAAAGAATATGCCTAAATATGCCAGGCAAATTCAAGTAATGAGAAAGCAGGGTTTGAGATCTTGAGAGAAAATAAAGTGAATACAGAGTGGGGAGAAAAGTTACAAGAGGCCAAAAAGGCCATTATAATACAAAAGTCTGCAATCCATCAAAGCAACTAGCAATATGCTGAAATTCTGGAGCTACAGGGAGAGACAGGCAGAAACACACCAACAGTAGGACCTTAACGCGTCTCTCTCACCCCAAGACGGAATCAGTGACCAAAATTTAAAAGAATCTACAGAACTCAAAACATGTCATCGGTCGCATAGATCCAATACACATATCTAACTTTGTTTGACTCATGAATAGAATAAGCTAACTGAAAAGAGGCATTTTTAGACAGTCAGGAAATGTAAACATGGGCCAGACACTAGATGATATTGAGTAGTTATTATAATTATTGTTAATTTGTAGATACACAAAAAATATTCTCTCTCTTTTTTAGCTATCACTTTTGTGCTCTCTCTCCCCCGCTCTCTCTCTCTGTCATTTTGAGAGCCTTCCTGAAGCATTAGGGGTAACACGACATAATGTGTGGTGTTTACTTTAAAATTCTGCAGCAAAACAGGGGAACACTGGGAAATGAACGGAGGAAGACGTTTAGTAAAATACTGGTGGTTTTCAAAGTTCAATGACTGGCTCATAGAAATTTTCCTAAATAAAATATCTTTTTAATGCAATGCCTTCTTTGAAAGTATCTCAGAGCAAAATCACTATAGGGAAAGAGAAAGCGCAAGCATGCTTTCTGGTCACGTCATAGGCAGCGAGACGTCAGTGTTTTTATTTTACGTACACCCTAGTGTTGAAACATCACCATATCCTGTCATGTGGGAATGGCTTAATGCCTCAATAATGTAATATTTTACTGAGGGTTTGCATTTAGGGTATTTATTAGCTCTTAGAACCAGTGTGGAATAATAAGAGACAAGAT